GTTGCGAAGGCTTACACCGAGTCTGAGTTTGAGAAACTCTACGCTGATTTCATTAAAAGGTTTCCAGCTTCAGGTACTTATCTTGATAATCACGTAGGACAACATAAATGGGCACGATGTTTCTTTCCAGGAGCTAGATACAAGATTGATACAATTAATACAGTTGAATCTATTAATGGTGTCTTTAGATTCTTAAGGGCATACGCTTTACTACCAATGATAGATGCGATTGTTGCCAAACTAGCTGAATGATTTAATAAATATAGGAAAATATCTATAGAGACTCCAATAGAGCAGAAGTTAGTCCCTTTTGTTGAGAAGTTGTTGCACGATAGATGTTCAGACGCAAAGCTCTTACCGGTGACTGAACTAAACAGCTATTTTCACGAATACAGTGTGACTGGAGTTGATGGTAGTAGTTATGTGGTTGATCTGAAAAACAAAACTTGCTATTGCAAGCAATTTGATATTGATAGATATTCGTGTGTGCACGCTATTGCTGCAGCTATGGAAGCAGCAAAAAACGCTGGTCATGAGATCAATGAGATCCAATTGCATGAGCTGTGCAGTAAGTATTATTGGATGGAGCAGTGGGCATTAGGATATTCAAGGACGATATATCCAGTTCCTATCATGTCTATGTGGATCGTTCCGGACAATGTGCGTGCTTTGGTTGTCTTTCCTAAGTTTTATGTCATAAAAAGAGGAAGGAAACCAAGAAAGAGGATTAAATCAACAGGAGAACATGGACGCAAGAAGAAGAAATCTACCATCGCGAGCTGGTTTGAGAGTCAAGGTTCCCGAAATTGATTGATTGTATTTTGATGTAATATCCTATTTGAACAATTAGGTACAACTTGTTTTTGTTATGGTACAACTTGAATAATTTGAATTTGATTTTCGGATCTTGTTAAGTCAACTTGTTTTAATGATATTTAAATTGATATATATTTTTAAATAAAAATATATATTGTTAGTTTTAAAAAATATTTCAATAATCGAAAATAAGGATTTATTTTAATTAATTGAAAAATCAGGATTTATTTGAATTTTTTTATAAACGTGAATTG